TTGTTTTGAGACAGGATCGTACTATGTAGCCCTGGCTTGCCTCAAACTAACAAGAGATGCCCCTGCCTCCCCCTCCCAAGTACTGGGTTCAAAGGCACGTGCCATCTTAGCCAAACTTCTCTCTCGTCTTTTTGGACTCACTTCATAGACCAGGGCTCGCCTCGAACTCACCAACACCCACCTGCCTCCGGAGTGCTGGGATTAAAGGAGTATACCACCACACCCTTAATAAATGTGATAATGGGACTTCATTCTGATTTTTCATGAAATCCGTTTCTCTGTTAGAGTCAAGAATCCCTCTAGGGACTGGAGAGATGGCTCCGAGGTTAAAGAACACTGAGTGCTCTCCCAGAGGACCTGGGTTCAGTTCCCGGCACCCACATGATTCTTTGCAACTGTCTGTAACTCCAGAGAATCTGATGCCTTCTGGCCTCCACAGGCACCAGACACGCATGTGTGTGAGTTTACACACACACACACACACACACACACACACACACACACACGGGCAAAACACTCGTTTTTTTTTGTTGTTGTTGTTGTTTGTTTGTTACTGTTTGTTTTATTTTTGATTATTTTATTTTATGTGTATGGATGTTTTATCTGCATGTATGTATATGCACCACCTGTGTGTATGTCAGTCTGGATGTACTCTGCCACTGAGCTACATCCCAGCTATTATTATTATTATTATTATTATTATTATTATTATTATTATTATTTGGAGAGGGACTGGCTCTCTCTGTATTCCGGGCTGGCCTTGATTTTTACCATGCTGGGCCCGGGGCCAGTCTGTAGGCCTCCTGAATCTTTTAGCTGCTCTGGGGAAGGGGCCGCCCAGGGCCCACCACACTGGAGGTGTTCAAGATCCCCTTCACCTGCCAGCTCCTGCAGGGCGGTGTCCACCGGCTGGAACAGCAGCTCGTCGAAGACGGTGCGCACCACCTGAGCAACCTCGCACAGGGAGAGGTGCGCGTTTACCACCCTCGATGAGATGTTCTGTAGGTCGGAGTCTGGCATTACGGTGCTGAGCTGGCCGAGGCCTCGGAAAAGCGGAGCTGAAATGTGAGAAACTGCCAAACGGATCCACTGCTGGGGACGACACCACAGGAACGGTGCAGGGAGCCGCTGAAACATTTGCAGGCGTTTACCTCCCCCGAGAGAGAGCTGGGGATCGATAATGTGTGTCCGCGCCACCACAGGACAGTGAGATCTTTTTCGAACGCAGAGCTGTTTCCAGAAACGTTCTGGCTGGCTAAAAGGTCTTGATGGCTTTTAACGCCTCCCCCCTTCATCGGCCTTGGCGCATAAAAACTCTTGCGCCAGCTCACACTCGAGGAGGCAATCCCTCTCCACGACGTTTGACCTCTTGCTGTCCTGGATGGAAGGCCTCCTGCTCTGGCCTTATGTGAGGTGAGTGGATTGAGTGGTAGGAACCAGAGTTGAGGAGATGAAAGTGTAAGTATGTAGGGGGGGGGGGGGGGGGGGGTAGGATAGTTGGGTTGTTTAGATGGCAAATGTGTGCAGGGGACTGAATGGGAGCGCTGCTGGGCCTGGGAGGGAATGCGTTGCAGCTGAACGTGGGCTTTGAACCTGGGCTTTGAACCTGGGCTACCTCTGACAGCGGCCTGGAGATCTGGTAACAAGGCTGAGCTGCCGAGTAGGTGGAGGAATTCCTCTGGCTTTCTCTTCCCCTGCCCAAAGCCTTTCTGTTTCGTTCTCAGTTCTTTGAGATGAGGTCCGTGCAGCCCATTTTGGCCTCCAAAATGTGATTCTCCTGCCTCAGTTTCTCAGGTTCTGGGATGACGGGCTTCAGACACTAGGCCTGGCTTTCTTTTCCTCTGAAAGAGGGTCCCAGTCTCCAGTCCACGCTGGGCTAGAACTGGCCATATAGATCTGAGTGGCCTCGAACTGGCAATCCTCCGGCTCTGCCAGGTGAATGCTGGGAACACAGGCACAGCCCCATCGTCAGGAACAGACGCTGTTCTCGGAAGCCCCAGCCAACCCGCCTTTTGTCTGTTTGGATCCCCAAGGTGGCAGAGATCAAGCCACGTGCTTGCATTACCCTCTGGTGGTCGGAAGGGCATTGGCATGAATTTCCCTGAAGAGCTTTTTTATTGTTCTCCGAGGCTCCGCCCAACCCCACGCTCAGACCCCGTCTCCACAAGGACAGATGCGTCCGCCTGTTTGCTCATCGCCTTACCCACGGCACCCAGAACAGTGCCTCTCGTCCACGGGAGGAGTGGAGAGCGCGTTCGGATCCTGCTCCACCACCGTGTTGACACAGGACATACACCTTTGGGGCCAGAGAACTCAGTCCCCGATTCTTCCTCTCTGATCCACCCGTCTGCACACCCGTTGGCAGTGGTCTAAACTTAGCAAGTCAGTCTGGCCGTTTGTCAAATGGGTGTCACGCCGGGCAGCTCCGAAAGGCTCCAGCCCCAATCCCAGGCTGGACGAGAAACCAACCACCGGGTGGGAAGGCAGCCTCCCCTCCTGCCAGCTCTTCCATCCAGCTCCCTAAACTACCCCGCCCCACCCCCACCCCGAGATCTCCAGGAGGCGCCATCCTCTGTCCCCAGGGGCTCTCAACATGTGCGTCCCGACCCCTTTGGGGTTTGAATGACCCTTTCACGGGGGGTCAGAGATCAGTAAATATCATATCACGTATTTACAGCATGATTCATAACACTACCAAAATCACGGTTATAAAGCAGCAACAAAAATGACTTTGTGGTTGGGGGGGGGGGTGTCACCACACCATGAGGAGCTGCAATAAAGGGTGGAAAATTAGGAAGGTTGAGGACCACCGGTCCACCCACACTGGCACCCGCTTTGCCGTCCAGACCCAGGCGGCTTCCGTCCATTCTCCCCCCCCCCCCCCCCCCCCCCCGCAGCCACCTTGCCACGCTCCAAACATCTTTCTTCAGGGGCCTGAGTCTGCGCTGAAAATAGGCTTATCTTATTTTCTAGCTGGAATCTGATCGTTCTCGGGACAGACTCCAAATCCTCTGACCTGCCATTTTGTGGTCTGGAGCCAGTCCATCCCCTAGTCATCTTGTTTTCCAGGGCCCAGCTTCAACTACTTCAGCATACAAAGCAAGCCATTCCTTACCTCTGGGCCTCTGCTTCCCTCATGTGAGAGAGTATGCCCTGCCTTGGCTTGCCTGGCATCTATTTGCTTTTCTCTTGTAATGGAATCCCTTCCCAGTTGGAAGATTTCAGAGAGTCCTGGAAGCGCCTTTCCGTTTCTGAGTTCAAAACTGAGCTTAAAACTCAGCCTGACACAAGCCCGTAACCACAGCACTTAAAACTCAGCCAGGCACAAGCCCGTAACCACAGCACTCAGGAGGCAGAGGCAGACAGATCTCTGTGTGTTCAAGGCCAGGATGGTCTACAAATCGAGTCCGGGATAACCAAGGCTACACAGAGAAACCCTGTCTCAGAAAAACAGAAGCAAACAAAATAACAATAATAACCGCAACCCTAGCCAGGCACGGTGGCTCATTGTATCCCAACACTTGGGAGATGAGGAGTTAGAGATCAGTAGCTCAGGGATAGCCTTGGCTACCTAGTGAGTTCCAGGCCAGCCTTGCATCTAAAAGCCGTGACAAACGGCAATGCTGTGGAAGGGTCGTGTGGAGGATGCAAGGTTCGGGCACTGGCTGCAAACCCCTGCCCTGTCTGCTGCAGCCTCACTCACTGGTGAGATTATGGAGCGCCGTCGGGGTCCCCGATACACGCTCCTTCCTCACTGCTGCCCCTCTCAGGCTGATGGCACCCAGGCCTTCAGTTTGGGGCTTTCTGGTTATCAGAGGTCCACGGGCCCACAGTTCCGCATTGGGACCCAGCAGTGCCCAGTTCTGTGAAGACTCATTTTCCCCTCTTCAGAAGCTAGGAGCTGGGGCTCTCAAAGACCTAAGGTCTCCGGAGTTGGAGTATTCTCAGTGTTCGTGCTGTCCCTGGAGGAAGGATGGGATGAGGAGGGGTCAGAGAGGGTGGCTGCAATCCCCTGTGGCACCCCCAGACGGCGTCCATGGCAACGGCCCCTCCGGTTCCGGTTCCGAAGAGTGGTCACTCTGCCCGGTATCTCTACCAAGTGAACCTCCGCCTCCTGACACACAGCCCGCCAGGGGGCTTCAGACTGTGAACCGAGCCTAGTGTTTGCCTTTCCGTCAGTCCCCTAAGGGACACTGGGCAGGAAATACTCTCAGGCAGCCTAGCACCCTTGAGGACAGGGCCTTTGGGGGCAAAAGCTGAATTTCTCCCGTCCTTGGGCAAAGGGAGAGAACTGTGGGCTCTGAGAGGCAGAGGAAGCTCCCGAGGGAGCCCCTGGAGGAGTCATGTCAGGGACCACCGGCACGTAGGCCCTCTCCCGGCCACCTTCCTCCTGGACCTGCCTCAGAAAGAGGGAGGCTTAGGTGAGGTCAGGGTAGCACCTGAGCCATCAGCCAGGGGGAGTGTCCCAGCGGGGCGGCCAGCCTGATGGCACACACCTTCAGGTACACGTATTTAAAAAAAAGAACACTGCCCTGCACTCTAACCAGCGCCTTCTGCTCTCCGCGTGTGCAAAGAGCTGCTTTAGGTGAGGGGCAGAGCGCAGTCAGAGCAGCTGAGACGGGAGTGCCTTTAAAGCCAGGGCTACAAGGGCAGCCTGGGCTACAGGATGAGGTTGAGTGGGGGGGTGGGGAAGGGAGGCAGGGAAGAAGGGAAGGGGAAGGCCAGGGCTGTGTTTAGAACACTTGCCCGATGGCCCCGGCTCCATCCTCGGACACCACGGAAAGAGAAAAGTGCACTCTGGGCTGCACCAACGGCTTATTTCCTGTCCTGCGTCCCCAGGCACACAAACAGGCCACACGATGCCAGCTGCCGGCTGCCTGGGTGTCGCTGGGAAACACCACCTGTCAAAGGGGGCAACCTGTCCAGGAGGCCCGGATCAGAAACGAGCGTGTGTCTGAGAATAGATGCACGGTGCTCAAGGTCAAACCTTCGCTGGCCAGTTTGCTGTGTGGTAGCTGTCTCGGAGGCGGAACATTTATTAGACCTATTTTACAGAGGAGAAAACTGAGGCCAGCAAAATCAGTGTCAGCCCCAGCGGGTCACACGAGCTGGAGGCGTTGGGGCTGGCTGGGAAGCCCAGGTAAATTCCAGGTGTGTCCTGTTGGCCTCTGAACCTAAAGACGTGTGACCCGAGGGGCCCAGCCAGCCACAGTCATGCCTTCCGGTGGCATCGTCTTGGGCTTTAGGACCGGCGGGCATGAGGCATTGGAGTATCCCCTTCAGCGAACAGTTTGAGGGAGAAATCCAGGGCGGGGGCAGCCTGGGTCAGCATCCCCAAGGAGATGATGTCAATGTGGGTCCCACAGAACTGGGGGAGGTTGCCCAGCGTGACGCCCCCACTGGCTTCCACAGCCACCCGGGGGAACTTGGCTTTCAGCGCAGCCGCCGTGGGGTGCAGCTCCTGGAGGATGCAGGCCAAGGGGAGGTGAGCCCCCAACCCAACCCCCCACCCTCACCCCCCAGGCCCCGCCCGGGAGCCGGCTCCCAACTCACCTCGGGCTTGAAGTTGTCCAGCATCACCACATCCGCCCCGGCCTCGGCGGCCTGCAAGGCCTCCGTCAGGCTGCTGCACTCCACCTCCACCTTCAGGGAGAAGCCGGCCGCCTGCCGAGCCCTCAGCACCGCCTGCCGGGCCGATCAGAGAGAGGGGGAGGTTGGGTAGCCCGGCCCTGGAGCCTGGGGGGTGGGGTTGGGGTGGGGGCGCACTGGGCTTTCAACCCCCCCATCTACAGACCCATCACCAGGCAGGGGCTGGGAGTCTCCGGTGGAGCGCCTGAGCTGGAGGTCTGGGGCGGACCAGAGTGAGGACAGTGGCCCAGGCAGCCAGCCCGGACACTCACCTTCTCCACGCCGCCGGCTGCCACCACGTGGTTGTCTTTCACCATCACCAGACCTCCCAGGTCGTAGCGGTGGCCCGCGGCCCCGCCTACCAGGAGCCCGTACTTCTCCACCAGCCGGAAGCCCGGCGTGGTCTTCCTCGTGCCCGCCACGTGTCCCGTCCAGCCCGTGCCCTTGGCCACCTCTACCGCCGCTGCCGCCGCGCTGGCGACCCCGCTGCAGCGGGCCAGGGTGTTCAGGGCCACCCGTTCCCCCAGCAGCAGGTGGTGGGCGGGTCCCCTGACCTCGGCCACCTTGACCACGGGCACCAGCTTCGACCCCTCCGGGAGGAGCCAAGTCACTCGGCAGTCGAGTTGAGTGAAGATGGCGTCGAAGAAAGGTCGCCCTGCCAGAACCCCGGGAGATTTGGCCCACAGCGCGGCCTGCGAGGGGCCAGACCCCGTGACCAAGGATGCAAAATTGAGGCCAGGGCAGTCTTCCTGTAGCCAGTTGTTGACCAGGGCTGCCAGGGTCGTAGGGGGCAGCAGGAGCTGGAGGCCTGGGGAGCAACGGAGAAACCTCTGTCGGTTTTGTGCATTCTTCCCTGGTAGCCAGAGGTGACGCCAGATTCCCTCATAGCCAGGGTTAGCATGGCCACAGCCAGTCAGAGTGGAGCCAGGACCCCCAGGGGCCAGGCTCGGGCAGAGCCTGGTAGCTGACCAGGCTGTCAGAGGGAATAGAAATCCCCCCCCCAGAACAGCCAAGGCTACACAGAGAAACCCTGTTTCAAAAAAAAAGGGGGGGGGATAGGGGAGGAACTGAAGAGATAGCTCAGAGGTTCAGAGCGCTAGCTGCTCTTCCAGAGGTCCTGAGTTCAATTCCCAGCAACCACATGGTGGCTCCCAACCATCTGTAATGAGATCTGGTGCCCTCTTCTGGCGTGCAGGCACAAATGCAGGCAGAACACTGTATACATAATAAAGAAATCTTAAAAAAGACAGAAAAGAAACAACGGACGGCAAACCGCCTTAACACATTTGAGCCCAGATTAAAGCTCTGTGCCCTGAACAGCAGCTGCCCCTCCCCCTCCCGCCCTTCTGCGATCTGCTATGAATCCTGAGTACTCAGGTACTCAGATCACTTTCCTGTATAAGTGTGTCCCAGGCGAAGAGCTTGTAAGTAGACATGGCCCTGGTATTAGAATTTGAATGTAACTGGGCGTCTTGTATTTTATGTATCGAACCCGCCGCTGGGTTAAATTCACCAACGAGACGTTTTATATCCTGTTGCTCTTTGGAGACATTGGTTGCTTAGCCCAGGATACCCTAGACGCCCAGGCACCTCACCTCCTGAATGCCGGGGCTGCAGACACCCAGCACCGAGCCCCCGAAACCTAACTGCATGGGCACCTGACTTGGGCACACCTGAAGGTCGCCTCTGCGGTCCAAGAAGGATTAGCTGGTTTTGCTCTGAAGCCCTCCAGCAGGCGATGAGCTCCTGGAAGCTGCTCTACCACACCAAGCGTTATAAAGCCGGAAGCTCAGGTGTTTGCAGCAACAGAGGACAACAGAGGCCCCAGGCAGCCGTGTGGACGCAGGCTCTGAACTAGGAGCCTTCGTTCGGCTGCAAACTAGGCTCGGTCATGGACTGTTCCAGAGATGCGAAGAAGGGGCAGAGGCATGGTTTCTCTAAGGTCTCAGCATGAGGCACCAACTTGAAGCGCTTTCCAGCCTTCGGCCACCGCAGAGGCGGTACAACGCTGCCACCTGTCGGCCTGGAGAAGAACCGCAGCCTTCACGCAATTCGTCTGGTCTCCTCCTCCGGGGATTTCGCCCTTGCTGTCCTGCAATTCGCTATGGAACCCAAGCTGGCCCTGAACTCCAACCAGTCATGCCTCACTTTCCCAAATACTTTTGGATCTCCATGTTGGTCTCTGAATTGCCGTTCTGACGAGAATCCTGTTGGTTCGGTTTAACCAGAACGCCTCCTTACACCCCCCTCCCCCGCCCCCAGGATTTCCTGTTAGTAATTTTGACACCTTTGACCCCTTCTGTGCTCTTGGGCTGTGGATTCCTACTTGACCACACAGTTTTTACAGTTCTGTTTTGAGTTCTTGCCTTACACTGAGAGTTCCAGACGACTGTTTTATCACTCGCCTCCTGCCTTCTTCTGCTGTTTTTTTTTTTTTTTTTTTTTTTTTTTTCCGAGACAAGATTTACATGTAGCCATGGCTGTCCTGGAACTTGCTCTGTAGACCAGGCTGGCCTCGAACCAGAAAGATTCGCCCCCTTCTGCCTCTCTAGAGTGCTGGGATTAAAGGTGTGCCCCACCACCGGCCGGCCACTTCTGCTGTGTTTGAAGACTCTGCCACTGTGAGCCCCAGTGCCTGTCCTCTGCCCCTGCCACGATCTTCATGTTACCCCGCTGCCCACGCGCTGTTTTGAAACTCCTGACTGAGGGCTGCCAGGGAGATGGGTACACTCCCGATCAGGCTCATCCCTGTGTCTGGGCTTCATAGTCCCTTCCCTCTCTCCTGTCACAGCTTCCTCTCTGACCTCTCTACAGACCCGGGCTAGGTGAGATGGTTCCAGCAATGTGCACCACCGTCCTGTCCAGCCTTCTGCAGGATTCCAGTTCCTGTCCCGGCAGGAGGCTCAGGCCGGTAATCCCAGCATGTGGGATGGTGAGGTGGGAGGATTTCCAGTTAAGGCCAGCCTGGGCTACATACACAGTGTGTTCCAGAATAGCCTGGGTGACTGTGTAAAATTCTGCCTCAAGAACAAACAGGAGCCAGAGAGATGGCTCAGTGGCTAAGAACATTGTCTGCTCTCCAAAGGACTCAGGTTCGATTCCCAGCACCCACACAGCAGTTCAAAACTGTCTGTAACTTCAGTTCCAAGGGATCTGATACCTTCACACCAACCGATGGCCATACAATAAACTTAAATAAACTAAAAACAAACAAACAAATATAAAATAAAGCAACCAAACGCCCAGTGTGCTGAGCTATTCAGATTTGCACAAATGGTCAGGTGTGATGGCACACACCTTTGACCCCAGCACTCAGGAGGCAGAGCAAGCAGATCTCTGTGAGTTGGAGGCCAATCTGGTCTAGAGTTCCAGGACAGTCAGGCACACACAGAATCCCGTGTCTAAAAACAAACAAACAAACAAACAAGTGAAAGAAATGGACAAACACTGAGCAGTTCATACAGCTGTGGCAAATACACAATAGTAGTTGTGCCATCAGAGAGTCCACATGGTGGAGCAACTCAGCACACAACTCCAGGCCAGGACCTGAGTGCCTCAGCCTCTTTTTGCCTGTGACAGGAACGCTGCCGCCGAGGTGCTGGGTTCCTAAGCTCGGAGGGATGCTGTCTGGCAAACAGCAGCTGTGTTGGCTAACGAAACCACTGATGCATTCCCCGAGCATGCTGGGTGCGGAGGAGATAACCGTCTGCGCCCCTGAGAGGAATGAGTCATGTTTGCCAGGCAGAGGTGGCTGGGGTGGTGGGGATTTGAAGCTGAGAAGCAGGAAGAGGGCTTCGGGTGAGACTGGAGAAACAGGAGGCGAGCCAGAGTCTAAGAGGATTGAAGCACTTAGCTTGGGAGTCTGGGCCCGTCCCATGAGCCACCACAAAACCTGGAAGTGAAGTGCAGTGGTTAGGGTTTTTCTAGAAGGTTCACCTGAGCCACCAACTGAGGATGGAGTCAAAGGGAGGCCGAGGCAGCCAGCAGCAAGGCTCTGAACTTATCCAGCAGTGTAGGAAGGGAGGGAAGGGTAGATGGGGGAGCTTGCCTCTGACATGGGATACTCTTGAATTGGTGGCCATGAGGTATCAAAACGTTGATTTTTCTGTTCCAGACACAGACGGCAGGAGCCATCCCAGGAGAGAAGTTTGGGGCAAGAGGAACATCCGGGGAAGGTGGGTGAACACCGGGAGTCCCTGGTGTGTGGGTAACACATCCTGCCTCCCCACAGGGGTCATTCCCATTTCAAAAGCACAGAAGCCAAATGTCAGTGTTTCCTGTGGCGAGGCTTCGCAGCACAGCCGGGGAGGGAAGCAGGTGGCTCCCTGAGGGTGTTGACGTAGATGCCCACGAGACACATGAGTGGTGCCTAGAGACACAGTAGGAAGATGGGTCCGCTCGCAGGAGATGCTGGGGTGAGGGTATGGAGGGACTGTGGGCATGGTGTCTCAGCACAGCGGGGGCGGTTGGGGGAGAATGCAGGCAGAGGTGTGGCTGACGCACAGAGAGGAGTCAATAGCGGATGTTTGGGGGTTGTGGCGAGAAGAGTCAATAAATAGTGCATGGGCAGAGCAAGTGAAAGACAGAAAATAGGTCACTGGACTTAGCAAGTTAGCGACCAAGAGGCCTTGGCTGAAGTAGTCTGGGGTGATGTGTGATGGAAACAGAGTCCCAAGGTCAGAGTCAAAACTGACTCGGTGAGGAAGTGGAGGCGGTGAGCGTGGGCCGCTGGCTCCAGGTGCTGAGCGAAGACCCTTGCTCACCCAGAGTGGCAGCGGGGCTGGAGTCCTGTGGAAAGGCTGTGTGAACTCCCAGCTGCCCAGGCTCGCTGTAGACCAGCTGTGTCAGAACCTGGGGTGGGAGATCCCAGCCATGTAGGTGTCCCAAGTCCCCCTCGAGTCCCAACGAAGACTGATGGATATGAAGGTTGAGAGCAGAGTTCTGGCACTCGAGATGGCTGACGGGCTAAAGGTGCCTGCTGCTTAGCCTGGTGACCGGAGTCTGCGGATCCCTGGGACCCACGTGGAGGAAGGAGAGCAGTGACTCTCACAAGTTGTCCTCGGACCTCCATGTGACATGACAGAGAGAGACAAACACACACACACACACACACACACACACACACACACACAGAATGAATGTTAAAATGCAGCATCGGCAGAGGTATCAAGAACCTGGATGAAGCCGAAGCCTGCTGCAGATCCTGAGATCCTGGCTGGGCTCAGTTCTCAGACTCACATCATGGAGTCAGCCCCAGCGCCCATCAGTAGAAGGCGGATGAGGAAAACACGCTGGATATGGCCAGGGAAGACTTCGCCTCAATGGAAACAGATTACAGCACTTGCAGGAGAACGGTTAGAACCTGAAATCAGGTTGAGGCAAGCATCACGTGTTTCCTCTCAGATGTGGAGTCTAGATGTTTAGAAATAAATAAATAACCATGAAAGTAGAAGGGAGCTCTTGGGGGAAGATGGGGACTAGAGAAAGGCCTGAAGTGGACAAGAGGGTGATGGGGTGGAAAAGATCAAAGTACACTCTAGTCAGGTAGGAAACTCTATTTTGTACAATAACATACACTAATAAACATGAATGAAAAGGGAGGAGAAATAAAGAGAAGAAGAAGACAAAGAAGAAGAGGAGGAAGGCAGCAGCCAGGCACCGTGGCTTATGCCTTTAAGCAACTCAGGAGGAAGAGGCAGACAGATCTCTGGGTATGAGGACAGCCTGGTCTACACAATGATTTCAAGGACAGCCGGAGCAAACAGAGAGAGGCTGTCTCAAATGGAGGAGGAGGAGGAGGAGGAGGAT